TGTGGAATCTGAAAGGTCAGTGAATGTTTCATACTGTTAACACTAAAACCCATTGGTCTTTTCTGAATGGATCTTTCACCCATGCATCCTTTTATAACATCATACATTGGTCATTTAGAAAATATTGGTGCACTGGCCTATGGATAGCCCCTAAATGTTGTTAAATATTATTATAATTTTTTTTTTTTTCCAGACAGAGTCTCGCTCTGTCGCCAGGCTGGAGTGCAGTGGTGCAATCTCGGCTCACTGCAACCTCCACCTCCTGGGTTCAAGCGATTCTCCTGCCTCAGCCTCCCAAGCTGGGACTACAGATGTGCACCACCACGCCCAACTAATTTTTGTATTTTTAGTAGAGATGGGGTTTCACCATGTTGTCCAGGCTGGATTCAATCTCTTGACCTCGTGATCTGCCTGCCTCGGCCTCCCAAAGTGCTGGGATTACAGGCGTGAGCCACCGCGCCCGGCCATAAATATTTTAAAAATTACATTTGTTAGTATCACTAATAATATAAAAACTTGGAATTTTGGGAAGCTTCAAGCTCACAGTTGTGAATGCCGCTTCTCTGAAATGCTAATATTTGCTTGAAAGCCTGAATTTTATTATTGGCAACAGATACCAACTCTTGTTTTCCTTGACATGACAGGCGTTCACTTAATTTGTTTTCAAGATGTCTGCCACATACCTAAGTCTGAAAAGCCACAGTTTGTCAGTCACTTTTTTTAAAAAAAAATTTTATTTCATAGAGTGTTTTAAAGACAGGGTACCGCTCTGTTGCGCAGCATCACTGTTGGAGTGCAGTGGCATAATCATGGCTCACTGCAGCCTCATCCTCCTGGGCTCAAGCAATCCTCAGCCTTCTGAGTAGCTGGGGCTATAGGCGCGTGCCACCATACCTGGCTAATTTTGTATGTTTTGTAGAGATGGGATCTCCCCTGTGTTGTCCAGGCTGGTCTTAAACTCCTGGGCTGATGCGATCCTCCTACCTCTGCCTCCCAAAGTGAGGGATTACAGGCATGAGCCACCGTGCCCGGCCCAGTAATTTTTTTCAAATAAAACTGGTATTCCATGAACAAAGCAGCTAGTGTAATTCACAACTCAAACACCACAGATATATTTCTTTGAGACAACCAAAAGTGTTTTATGAGGACTTAACACATGTACTCAATGATTCAGATTTAACAAAATTAATAATTTTTACTGCTTCATCAAGGGATATTGTTACATGCAATTGAGTTTTTGCTCTTTTCTCCTAAATTACAAGTGTACAGTGGTGAAAAATGCAATAACAACTACTAGAGCTTGGGGTCAGTGCCTTGATGTGCGCTCAGGTGCCAGCAGTTGTACCTATCCTAGGTAAATGACAACACAGTGACAAAGGCTTATAGTTTAATATTATAAAAATAGTCATGTCTCACTTGCTCCCTGACACTGTCTCAGGAACCCCTCAGAGGTTCACAGACCACATTTTCAGAAGTGCTGTTACAGGAGGTGGAACTGAATTGCAGAGAACTTAAGCAATTTATCAAATATCAAACATTTGAGTAGTTAAATCTTAGAACACCTCAGATATTGGGTGTAGGAGGCTGTAGTTTATGCCTAAGTGTTAGATTGATACAAAATGTATTTACTGATTACCTATTCAATAAATGAATTGTCAATAAGTAGGGAACTGTTTCCACTCAATAAATGAACGGTAGCGTGATTGTAAGAGCAGTTGTGAGCATCCACAACCTTTTAGACTCACTGCCCTGCCCCTCTCTGATTTTTATTTTTTAAGCCATGTCCCTAAGGACCTTCTCTCAGGTCCATCAGACCTTTCATTCAGCCAATATGCTTGTGTGTTAACCTCCCCGCCATATACCAAGCCCTATGCTGGGAATACGATGAGGACTTGGGGTACTTACCTGCTTCTGGAAGGAATAAAAGTTCTGAAGTACTTTGTCAGGTCCCATGGTAGGTGATCCTTTCTCATCTTTCTTGTTAAGAACATACTTCTTGGTTGGGCACAGTGGCTCATGCCTGTAATCCCACCACTTCGGCAAGCTGAGGCAGGCAGATCACCTGAGGTCAGGAGTTCGAGACCAGGCTGGCCAACATGGTGAAGCCCCATCTGTACTAAAAATACAAAAATTAGCCGGGCATGGTGGCATGTGCCTGTTGTCCCAGCTACTTGGGAGGCTGAGGCAGGAGGATTGCTAGAACCCAGGAGACTCCATCTTGGAGTCTCACTCTGTTGCCCAGGCTGGAGTGCAGTGGCGCAATCTCGGCTCACTGCAAGCTCCAGCTCCTGGGTTCATGCCATTCTCCTGCCTCAGCCTCCCGAGTAGCTGGGACTACAGGTGCCTGCCACCACGCCCGACTAATTTTTTGTGTTTTTAGTATAGACAGGGTTTCACCATGTTAGCCAGGATGGTCTATATCTCCTGAATTCGTTATCTGCCTGCCTCAGCCTCCCAAAGTGCTGGGATTACAGGCATGAGCCACCATGCCTGGTCAAGAAAAAAACATTTCTTATAGTTGAGTATGGTTCTAGTATTTTTTCATGGCAGAGCCCTGGAGAACCCTCAGGGGAACAGTTGAGGGAATTTAAGGACTCTTGATTCTGGCACTTAACTCCTGTGTTTACTAAGTTTATTATAGCTTGATTTTTTTTTTTTTTGGTCACCTAGAAGCAGGAGAGGGCAGAGATAGGGGCAGACTTTGACCAGCAAGATCTTTAACATTTTTCAGCCCAGAGTGCTGCCTTGCTCTCTAAAACAGTTACTTTGTCCTGGTTCACTCTTCCCTGAGTAGAGGACAGTTACCTTTGTGTGCAGGTGGACCTTCCTTTCACCCTCCTTCCTTCCTGTTTCCTCAGAGCCAGGACTGTCTCCAGTTGGGTCCTCCTGCTGAAGGGGAAGTGGTCCAAGTGAGATGGACAGATGGCCAAGTCTATGGAGCCAAGTTTGTGGCCTCCCACCCTATCCAAATGTACCAGGTATCCATAGGTTCTACCTTTCTAGGGAGTGGGGGGTGCTTGATTAATTCTGTGCTTCCTGTTGGGCCAGAGGCAAGTCTTTGCTCTTAGGAGAGCTAATAGGCTGGTAACCCTTTCAGAGCTAGGGGTCTGTCCTGTGTCCAGTCTGCCAAATGTGAAGTAAGGTAGTCCTTATTTTAGTGTGCTAACTCCTTCCTTTGACTGTAGGAGACTGCCACTGTGCATGGGAACCAGGAAAAGAGTCAGGGATATCCTAGCCAAAAGGCCTTTGTTTCCTTGGTAGGTGGAGTTTGAGGATGGCTCACAGCTTGTGGTTAAGAGAGATGATGTATACACACTGGATGAAGAGCTTCCCAAGAGAGTCAAATCTAGACTGGTGAGTATTTTCTGTGTGTCTCCAGTTCCTGTCTTGGAGGGAGGGAACAAGGCAAGGATGCATCCCTTTGTATTTTTCTTAGGGTAGCTGACATTTGGCTTGCTTATTCTTCTATAGTCAGTAGCCTCAGACATGCGCTTCAATGAGATTTTCACAGAGAAAGAGGTTAAGCAAGAAAAGAAACGGCAACGAGTTATCAACTCAAGATACCGGGAAGATTATATTGAGCCTGCACTATACCGGGCCATCATGGAGTAGGTGCTTCCAGGGTCCAAGGAATTCCCAGCCATCCAGGCAAGAGCACTCTGGGTTCCACAGCACAGCAGACATGGAACTCTGAAGTCTCTGAAAGTGAAGTTGTAAAAAGAAAAGGAATGAAATAACCGACCCATCATCCTCCCACCCACCCTCATTGCATTCCGCTGTAGCGAAAGGACGAGCCGTTTCTGGGCACGTGGCAGCAGTCGCTGATCTGCCAGCTACGGGGCTGAGCACTGGAATGCTGTGGCTGCACTGGCCCCAGTCCATAGAGGGGTCAACTGTGCTGGCTGGACTGGCTGCCCTGTTCCTGGCCTAGGACTTAGCTTCATAACTATCACCTGCACCTACTAGGCTGAGGTGCTGGTACTTGCCCCAACCCCTACTTTTGTATTTATATGTGTGTATGTGTGTGTGTATGTGTGCGCGCGCGTGTGTGTGTATGTATGTTTGGTCTGGACCAGCTTCTGCCAGCCCCTGGCCTTTACTTTCTTCCTTGCCTATGCAGGGCAAACAAAATGTGAAATTCTGCCCTCAGCTGAGCTGAGTAAGGGCTCCTAGGGGTTGGCTGGAGATGGGTGTGGCATCTGTCCAGGCCTGGAACAGCCTCAAGACAGTGCTGGCAGAGCTGCAGTATTGAGATGCTAAGGAGCTGATGCCACCTCTTTGTCTTCCCCTGAAGGAGAACATGGGGATTACATGGGTGTGTGCCCACAACACTCTAGGTGCAGAGCCCCTGTGGCAAAGTATTAGAGGGTGTGGGTGGGGATTACCCTGAAGCGGGGATTTTAATGATGGAAGCAGGCAGAGCCTGGTGGGTGATTCTGTCAACAGAAAATTGCAATCATGCAGGGGCTTACTGTAGGGTTAGGATGAAAAAACTGGGGCCATTGGAGGCCCACTGTGGGTGGGAGGGAGCTGATTTTGGGGTGGGGGTGGGACTAGAGGGCAATACTGAAGGGGTTAAACAGGTTTTTGCTCCTCGAGAATTTGTTTGCCTGGGCCCAGGGTTGGAGGGCTTCACACCAATACCCTGTGTATACAAGAATCAGATTTATAATACTTCCCCTTTTTTGTTACGTATGAACACTATAAACCAAATTATTTTGAAAACTGGTGCATCACCTTGTCCTTAGCAATAAAATGTGTTGAGCAGAGGATTGGCTGTCTGCCCCAAGGAGCCCAAGTGGTCCATGTCAGGCTGGGGGTGTATCTAGTCATAGGCTCTGGAGCAGGGCTGTGTATTTTAAGACAAATCAGTAAGGCAGTCCCTAGGAAATTCCAGAGAGTGGGTCCTTTGCTTGTCAAGCTCTGTATTAGGCCAAGTATGGTGGGTCATGGGAACCGGGACACTTCTGGCTCTGAGCACCTCTTTGTTGTGCTTGCTCTGCCTTAGAGACAGGCAGGACGAGGTAACAGGAAGCACCAGACCAATGAGTCCTCTCAACAGAGTATCTCTCACTGCTGCCCCACTTGATACATCTTCGTTGAGCTGGCCTAAGTTCATGCCAGTATCTGTGTTATATACACATTGTGGAACCAGTGTGAAGAACGGGGTGCGTTTTAGGTGCTTGAAAAGCAAGGGACCCAACCTCCAGTGGGATCCTCAGATTGCTCTCCGAGCTGTCTAGTTGGTGAGAAGCTTCCCTGGGGGAAGATGCAATCTCCTTTGGCTGGTGGGTCCCTGAGGTCAAACTGGACAAGGATGGGGAACCATAGAACAGGGAGGGGGGCAATGAAAAGGTGCAGGACTTGGGCGCCCCGGAGCTGCACCGGCTGGCCCTTGAACAGCCAGGCACTTCTTGAGGCATGGCCCTGTCCAGGTGCGGGAGAGGCTTGGGTCAGCTCAGCTACTCTGGATGCTTCCTTGTGTCCCTGCGGGTGAGAGGTGGTTGCTACTTGGTATCTCATGGTGGAGAAAGGTGCAGGAGGTGATCTTTTTTTATGTCAGCTCCCTCCTGGGGCCCAGAGAGGGAAGTTGGCCTTCCCCCCACCCCCCACACGCCACTTGAGGATTCGCAGGGGATGCAGCAAGGGAGGCTGGGCAGAACCAGGCCTTAGTGGATGGTGAGAGAGCCCAATCCACTAATCCATCCATCTTTGGAAGAGAGGAACACTTCACCAGCCTTTTTACACAGGGTCCCTACCTTTCTCAATGACCCCACTTCCTCCAGCGGTGGGCGCTGGGTTTAATCCCAGCAGTTTTTACTCAACGGCTGACCAGTTTTCCAGAAACCACTTTTTATTTTGGTCAACGTAATAACTCTTAGGAAACGGCAACTCAGGTGATCCAAATCACACAGACCGGTCTATTCTCCCCCCTACTGGCTGCCTATGCAGTCGGGTCGACCTCGAGAACTGGCCCCAGCCAAAAGCGGCACCTCCTGGTCTGCCAGTCCCTTCCTGCCTTAGGTAGCTCCTCCCAGAAGCGTTTTTGTAGGGCAAACTGCCTTCCCTCAGTAAGGTAGGGCCTTTGGATCCAAGGTTGCAGTTTAAAGACCACCCCAGCTTTGTTGAGGAATATAGTTTTAAATCCCACCCCAGGCGGATAACACCAGGGCTCAGCCGCAGGAATGAAAAAGTGGGGTGGCAGGGCTGCAAAGTCTACGTGGGGCTTGGAGGCCCTGTGCCATATCCGGACTAAAAATGTTCTACGAGTCTCTTAACGCTCATCTCCGTGCCCCCTTGCCCACCAGGGCCCACGGAGGTCTGAAGCTTTCGGCCTCAGTGAGCGGACTGGGTGCGCTCACGACCTGGAGGGCGAGATGAGATGTTCCTCGGTGTGAAGTGGCGGTGACTACCCCAGCACTTTGCGTTCCCCGCGCAGGCGACGAAACGGGCTCTCGAGGGGAGAGAGCCGTGCGTCCTCTGGGCCGTGAAGCCGGGGGAAGAGGGTTCCTCTAGACGGCTCGACGTGCCCGGGAGAGACTCCCGCGCTGAACCTGCAAGCTGGGGCGCTCCACCAGCGCGAACCTCTGACCCCGCACTTGCCGCAGCTCTGGTCCCGTGGTAGGCGGGGTGGGCGGGCCGGCAAATCCGCGGCTCCTGCGTCTATTGGCCTGCTCGGGGCAGCGCAGCTCCGCATTGGCCAGGCCCTTGCTCCGCCCGGCTTCCGCGCGCCCATTGGTCGCAGGCTCCCGACCGGGTCGCGGCCGCGCGCTCCGCCCGCCGCTGCGTCCCCACTATGGCGGCGCCCATGCAGCCCACCGCGTCGTGGGCGCCCGCCGGGGTCCCCCGCGGCTGTCGCCGCCGCCTCCGCCGCCGCCTCCGCCTTCCTGCCCCGCGTCGGGCCGGGCGCCACCTTCCCCCTGCCTCCCTCTCCGCTGTGGTAAGGGCCTGCCCGGTGCGCTTCGGGGCGCGATGGCTGACCGCGAATAACGGTCGCCGCGCCGCCCCGCCCCTCCCCCGCCGGCCGCGGTTCCCGGGCTGGGCGGGGCGCGGAGCCCGCGCGCTAGTGCCCGGGAAGGAGGGGTCGGGGCACGGCCCAGTCGTCCTTCGGGCTGGGGGCCCGGTATCTGGATGACCTCGCCTGGGTGGGGGCCGCCGAGCCTGGGGGAAAGGCCGCCCGGACGCGGGCCAGGAGGTCTGAGGTCATCTCTGTGCGAGACCCCGCAGCGCTGCGCACCTTGGCGCAGAGCCCCGACACCATCATTCGGGCCCTGCTGTGGGAAGAGGAAAGAAAAGTCCAGGGAGCGCCTGAGCGGGAATCGGCAGCGTATGGGTAGTCGTTGTCATTGCTTACTGCTCTAGCGGGGGCCAGAACCGGGGTCAGTTCGATCAGCAAAGTACGCCTCTCTTGCTTCCTTTCCTTCTGGCACTTTCCCCCGTTGTCTCCTCGGTGCTTTTGCTGGCAAGAGAATATGTCTTAGAGAGAAGAGCAGATTTGGTTAGGAGAGTGTCCCATGAACATTTTGGATTCCTTTTTACAACAATGTCCATTTTTATGATTCCTCAGTAAGCCTCTTTTTTGTTTATGTTTCCTTCACGTATGAGGAAGGAGTGAAGTCTGATAACTGAATGTAATTAATTGAATGGGGGACCAATGAAGGCAGCTATTACCTCAGAAAGTAAAATACTCAAAACTTTTCAGTGGATGTACTGTGAATTATAGATAGCTGGACATGAAGGTAGGAAAAAACTCTTACTAGGTTACTAAAAGTAAGATAGTCCCCATGACAAATTAGGTTGTTTCTAAGTCAGAATTATCTTGTAGAGATGATCTCTGAAATGTTTGGTGTACTTTCAAGTCAACAGAGGATTAAAAGGAAGCTGGCACAGAAATTTATTACCAAATGATATTTTCAAATAATCTCTTAAGGCAATAACAGCTCCTCCTATGATTAGAAATTCTTAAGAATATTTTGAGATACTAAGTGGTGAATCTCTTCATTTCACATGTCTGTCTAACCATGGCTTAATAAAAATAAAATATTAATGTTGAAACAAGGCATTCATGTTCTTAGAGACTAACAGACTTTGTGTCAATCAATGGAACACCTCTTGAGTATATGTTTTATGCAAGGCATTGACTGAGGGGAAACTCAAAACCATTTAAGATAAGAAACTTGTTCTAATGAGCCTATAATATAGTTGAGGGAATAAAGCACACACATGACAGTGACAACTATGATATGGTCTCTAGAATTCCAAGATGGTAGGTACTATGAGAAACTGGGAAAAGGAGAAATCAGTGTGTTTGCGGAAGGTTTCACAGGGAAGCTGAGGCTTGAATTGGGTCATGAAGAGTGGGTAGGCCTGGCTGGATGAAGAAGAAGAAGTGAGCAGATGAGAAAGTGAGGATGGCAAAGGTGCAGGGGAACCTGAGATGCTCATGGGTGGTTGCAGGGAGTTTCTTAGTAGAAAAAGCAGGATATGAGGTTGCACAAAAGGTGGGTTGATGGCATTAATCCAAGAGGTACCTTTGTCCTGTATGGTGCAAAGAGTAAACAAGTAATAGAATTTATTTCCAAGGAAGCTGGAGCTGACTATCAGGAATATGGTAACACTTTACTTACCATTGTCACTTTTTCTTTGTTTTTGAGACAGGGTCTCCCTCTGTCACTTAGGCTGGAGTGCAGTGAACATGGCTCTCTGCAGCTTTGACTTCCTGGACTCAGGCGATCCTCCTGCCTCAGCCTCCCAAGTAGCTGGGACCACAGGCAGGTGACCCGGCGAATTAAAAAAAAAAAAAATTTTTTTTTTTTGTAGAGACAGGGTCTTGCCATGTTGCCCAGGCTGGTCTTGAACTCCTGGGCTCAAGAAATCCTCCCACCTTGAGTTCAAGACCAGCCTGGCCAACATGATGAAATCCCGTCTCTACTAAAAAAAAAATACAAAAAATTAGCCAGGGGTGGTGACAGGTGCCTGTAATCCCAGCTGCTCGGGAGGCTGAGGCAGGAGAATCGCTTGAACCTGGGAGGTTGCAGTGAGCTGAGATCGCGCCACTGCTCTTCAGCCTGGGCAACAAGAGTGAAACTCAGTCAAAAAGAAAAAAAAAGAAATCCTCCACCTCAGCCTCCCAAAGTGCTGGGAATATAGGCGTGAGCCACCACACCTAGCCCATTGTCGCTTTTCTGATTCACCTCAGCTACTTGGAATAACAGTTCTCTCAACCCAGAAGCTGTACCTTAAATTTATTCTTATTTTTCTTCTTTTTTTCTCCCCTGTGTTTTTGGTTGGGTGCCAGCTCTTGTTGACCCTACTTCCACACTGTTTCTGGCATCTGCTTCTGTTTTTGAGTCAGAGCCTCTCTCTGTCGCCCAGGCTGGAGTGCAGTGGCCCCATCTCAGCTCACTCCAACCTCCACCACCCGGGTTAAAGTAATTCTCCAGATCTCAAGTGATCTGCCCACCTTGGCCTCCCAAAGTGCTGGGATTATAGGCATGAGCCTCCGTACTCAGTCTGGCATCTGCTTCTTTTCACTCCTACTGTCATCACACTGATTTGGGGCCATTGGACCTTTCCTGTGAATTACCACAGAAACCCCCTAACATTTTTTTCCTTCCTCCCCTCTATTATCTGTACTGCCATCACTTCCAAGTTTGTCACTTCTCCAGCCAGGACTTTGAATGGCTCCCCATTATCTGTTGGGTTAGGCACAGACCAGCCTGGCATGGGCAATATGGGCAAACTGATTTCTTGCCATTCTCATATTTTCCAGGTCAGTGGAACTATTTGCTCTTTGTGCCTTGCTGTTTGTGCTCTATATCTTTGCTCATGTTGGCTTTTTCTATCTTAAGTAGTCTCCTTGACCCTAATTGTTCTTATGTGTGTTTCAGGGCCATTTGATACAGAACTTCCTTTGTGAAGCTTGTCTGTACTTCTCTTCCCATCTAGATGAGATGTCTCTCCTCTTTAAGTTTAAAGTTTAAACCACCATAACATTAGAGTCTGCCTTTTTGCGATAACTGCCTTAAACCCTGCTTCTACTCACAATATAAGACTGAAGCTATTTCAAGACATAGACTATCCTCTTCATCATCCAACTTTGTACATAGTAGGTACTTGGCAAATATATTTTATATTGAAAATAGCTTTGAACCAGGATGGACGCAAAGATAATTCTTTATCCAGACAAAATGTTTGTCATTAAAATCTATAAATAAAGTTGTTTATGTGAGAGAATCCCTTACTGAGAGATCTGTATTGATATAGATACCTTGGATTAGGTTGCAGTAACAAAAACCTCAAGACTTCAGTGGCGTAACAGAACAAAACTTGACTTCTCATTCATGTGACATGTCCAGCATGAGTGTACAGGAAACTCTTCACAGTCACTCAGGGACTGAGGCTGATAGAAACTCCATCTTAATATGGTACTGCCATGACCATTTTGATTAAATGAAAAGATAGTGGTCAAGTGGATACTGGCTTTTCAAGTTTCTGTCCCCCTATGGCACATGTCATTTTCATTCACATTTTCATTAGCCAAAGGAAGTCACAGCCATGCCTAACTTTAAAGAAGGTTAGAGAATTTCAGTGTTGGCATATGTCTGGGAAGCAAAGAGCCAGAAATATTTGGTGCATAGCACTAATGACTGCTACCTCATCTGTGGTAACACAGCCCATTGAAGATTAGAGGTAGCACATCAGATGGACTGCTAGAGGCAAACATTGACAGTAGCAAGAAATGATAGCTCTAACTAGGCATGGGGTAGTGGTAGATTCAGAGTCAAAACTCTTACAAGCACTTGTAAGTGCTTACAGGCCAAGGGTGTTGATACAAGGGCAATCTGTTACATCTCGGTTATAACAGTCATTCCTGAAGAATGTCTTTTACAAAACTTACTGTGTTACAGCATTCTTAGTAACAAATACAGCAGTGGTTCTGAGATAGCAAAAAATAAAAGTTAAATTATATTCAAGGTATTCAATTTATAAGAAATCGGGAAATGTGTAATAATTTTAGGTGCATTTTCACTCAAATGGTGAAAATTAAAAAATAATCTTAGTTTAGGCCAGGTGCAGTGGCTCACGCCTGTAATCCCAGCACTTTGGGAGGCCAAGGCGGGCGGATGATGAGGTCAGGAGATCAAGACCATCCTGGCTAACACGGTGAAACCCCGTCTCTACTAAAAATACAAAAAAATTAGCCGGGTGTGGTGGCGGGCGCCTGTAGTCCCAGCTGCTCAGGCGGCTGAGGCAGGAGAATGGCGTGAACCTGGGAGGTGGAGCTTGCAGTGAGCCGAGATTGCGCCACTGCACTCCAAGCCTGGGCGATAGAGCAAGACTCCATCTGAAAAAAAAAAAGAAAAAAAAAATCTTAGTTTAACCTTACTGGTTTAATTGAACCTAGCCAACTTGGTATTTGGGGAGGAGGTGAAAACTTTTGACAGACAGTAGAAACAGTACCAGTTGGAGCCCTGGTTCAGGAGACAGAAGATTTGGGTTCAGATCTTGGGTCTTCCACTATTAATAGTTGTCTGACATTAAGCAGGAATCTTATTTTTGAGCCTCAGTTTCCTCATCAGTGAAATGCATTGGGCAGTGGTGAGAAACAAGTCAGTTCATGTAAAATGCTTTGCAGAGCACATGGTTCAGAGTAAGCACTCGTGATCAGAGTGCTTCTAACTAGCTGCAGCAAGATTAGAAGAAACTTGAGAAATCAGGTAAGGAACCCTCAGAGATACAGGTAGAAGGGTTCCCCTGGATTTCCCCACCTTTTTTCTCCCTTGGACAGCATCCCTACTGTATCTTATTTTCACATTTTTATTATTTCATGTGATTGTATACATTTCTGTCTCTCCTAGACCAGGTGGTCTCATCATTCCACAAATGCGTACTGAACATGAGCTCTGCCAGGCTCTGTGCTAGGTGGTGGCTTGATAG